AGAAGAATTGTTGAAGACTGTTTTCTACGCGGTCCGTGAAAAGGGGTTATATGACGAGGACACCAGCCGAACGAGTCATTTGTCAGTTGAAAGTCAGGCGTCAGGTTAAAGGCATTGTGTGAAGAGAAAACTAGGAATTTGGTGTGAATTGGCCGCCAGCCTGCGAGTTAGTCAATTGAAGCACTGAGTGAGTTGTAAGGAAGACGTCCAGTTGTAAGGGAGGTAGTTGTAAAACAGTCTGTAAAGAGAACACTTGGTCGGTGAAGTTGAAAATTCTGCACTGCTAGAAGCTGTTACCATGGATCGCCTGTACTGGAAATTAGGCTACAAATTATATCCGGAATTCCTTATCAAGAGCTCTACGGCCCTTTTTTGAACCTTGGCTGCTTTTTCAGTTTCTTCTTCTTTTACACAGTTGGTAGCCGTCGCAAGGCTGCTACCTGTATAAAGGACACCACAAACACAGGATAAACCATCCGTGCTTCAAGTGGGATTCGAACCTACGGTCCCAGCGTTTGATCGGGCTAAGAAATTTCATGCTTTAGACCGTGCGGCCACTGTGATCGACCCTTTCTGTGTTTACTTACCAAAAGATTGTATGAAATTTAGTATTTATATATCCATTTTAACTATGAAATCTCGTTAAACCCATGACTATTAGTAGACTAGGAATTTCAAGCAAAACTGATTACAGTTTCCGTTTTCCTGCTCTGCTTAGACCCTGTGTATAAGGGGCTGCGGCTCGCTGCTCTGTCGCTACGTATGTTGTAGTCATAGCTCACAGTGGCTACAAATAGGAGCATAGAATGGAAACAGTGGATTACTGCAAAGTTCACATTTACAGAGCCAGCTCAACATAGTGCGTATTGTTACTCTATCCAGTTCAGTATCGTCTTAGAAATTCAGATATCTCTGCAGTGGAGTTATTGCTATATCGTTCTTGACCTCGGTTCACGCTTGGACTCCTTTACTCGGGGAAAGGGTCCCCGGTACCCTTCGACTAGGAAGCTGGATAGACCCTAGAGACAGTCTGGACGCTTCGAGGTAGAACAGAATCCCTTGCTCCTGCCGTGAATCGAACCCGGGCCGTTCAGAATGTAGCCTGCTTGTATACCGATTGAGCTAGCAGGCCTCCAAGATATTGTCCCAGGTATTTTGTTATTATCAAAGTCTGTTGTTATCAATCACATTTAAATTTCAGCAGAATTCATTCTAGTTATTAAATAAAATTAGTAGTTCATTTAGAGAAAAAATTGGTTGAGTTCTACTTCGGATTCGATTTCTGAGGTATGGCTGTCGCCATCTGCAGAGTGTCGGTCGGTTTGTAGAACATCAAACCATAAACAACATAAACACAGCGTAGGAAGTTGCGTTGCTGAAACCTCCTGCTTGAAACATCGGAATCTGCAATGTAGAACGGTCGGTTTGTCCAGCGTCAATGAGAAATTTGCAATAAAAAGATGGATTCTTAACAACATTTCAGAAGAACTTACTGCTTCCATATTCAGCGTAATAAGAAAGGTGAGCATCAGGATTATTGCTGTTTTCTTGATTTATTCTTCGACCATGACGACGGAGGCGGTAGTTCTGACGTTGGTAAAACGTCTTTGCTAACACTTGAAATCTCACAAATGTGCCATCATATTATGGTCAGATTTGTACTTTGAGCTACAACAGGTCACCAGACATCAAGGGCGTGTTCACAGAGAATTAGATTGCTACGTTATCGTGTCATTAACTAATTAGGTAATAATATAGTGATAACTAACAACTAAGTAGCTGATTAGTGTACTATATTAACAATCATCCAAGTACCTATGCAACTGTTATGTGTTTTTCCTTTTTCTGCCTGTACAAGTTGGGGAAACGAGGGGTTTATTACTACGGTTCCGGGAACAACGCTCCGAAGAACCAGTTATATACTGTTCACTGCGAAAACACTTGCTTGAAAATGCAATAATTGATGTATTTATCTAGTTCAATTCTCATAAATTTACTTTTTATAGTTATTTACTGTTACCTGACGGTTCTGTTTCATCAGAATTGTCAGAGCCGCTTTAATGACAGAGGTGGAGAGACGTCATCATTTTGCCAATAGTCCGTAATAGTACGTACTGTCATTGCTTTAGACCAGACTTTTCCATGCTGGAAACATTTCTCGGGCTGCCGAAAAACTGAAGGACAATAAAGCTGTTGAATTAGTTTTAATACTAAACAGCCGCTTTAATTAACAAACATACTATTTCGTTGGAAAGTACCTCCATCCCCCATACGTAGTTAGGATGTGGAGCTTAATAAGGCAGAGGAAAAGCGTTGCCTTTTTAACTTTACAGTAAGAACGTCAGTTGAGGCATATCCATTTTAAAATTCCTTTCGATTTTCTTACGGTGTAGGGAATTTTTTCTTTTCCACAGTGTTCAGACCGGCTGTGTGCCACTCAGCCTCGTATCCAATGGGTACTTGGGGGTTTTTCCCCTAAGGAACGCGACATCCAGAACTTGAAACCGAAGTAAGAATGTGGAGAGATATACCTCCAGTCCCCCACACATACTGCCAAGATTTAGGGGTGTGAGTATAGAAGGGATTTATACTGCTGACTTTAACACACGACTCGTGACTACACTTTACAGTTCACTGCTGAACACACACTAGTGTTTCAGTCTGTTAGTCTGCAATAGTCGTTGCCTGGTAACGAATCCTACCGATGGAGATTCTTCATTTTCCATGCTCACGTCATTACTGCTCGGTTAATATCTCTCAATTGAACTCCTGTCAAATGTCAACTCAAATATAACTCCATCTTTTCTTAGCCTTCCTTGCAGAGCTCGACTCAACTACCAACCCTCAATTGACTAACTTACTCACTCACTCACCCACCAACTAACTACTTCACTTCACTTCACTTCACGCAACTGTACTGCACTCAGCTGGGGCGGACCCAACAGAAAACACTGCCTCCAACAGTGCATCATTTCTGCGGGAACGTGTTTACTGAGCCGTTAACAAGCAACACATGTTTCTTCTCACAATCGTTGCATAGCAGTGATACTGCACGTCATAATATTCGTGGTGTGGAGACTAAGTAAGCGTATGAACAACTTTACTAAACGCAAAATTTGCTCACTGTTACTTCGTCTCACCTAAGCTCAGAAGTGTTCAACATTTCGTTCTCCGACGGATGACAGCGAACTTGACATTAAATTATCCCGCACCAAAATACCCGTTCCGTGTACTAAATAAAAATCACGTTATACGAATTCTGAGTAGAAATATGCCAGAGTGCTTAACACTTAAAAATGAAATTTTTTTCGAAATATATTTCCGGAGTTTATTTCTAAATTATATACAAGCTTCTCAAAGACTTCCATAGGAAAGTAACTGCTAGAGATCGTGACGTTTCCTGCATTCTCGGCATAAAGTTTTTCCCTTAAAGCAGTGATTCTCAACCTCTGTGAGACCGCGGTCCGGTAAATCCTTTTTTTCAAGACGAGGGCCCGGTATAATTGATGCCAGGGCCCCGTACCGGGCCGCGGCCCGGCGGTTGAGACACACTGCCTTAAAGCGTTAACCGTTGGCACTCTTGCATTTCATTGTTACCTGAAATGAAAACATCGTCTCTTGTGGGTCTGATAATAGTAGTAGAGTATTTAGTAACCACCACTGGACGGCGTAGGCATGTGAAGTTAATTATGAAACTAATTCATGTGTTATTATCAACTTTGATATTGGTCATTGCTTGACTGACCCGACTGTTTTGCTACATCGGGTTGCTGGATACTACTGAAGATATTTCCTCTTACACGACCTGCCGAAGCTACTGGAAGGTGTACCATTGGCAGTCAGAGCACAAATATGGTACACTCTTGATGGTACCCAATTTGGGTATATGGAGTGGAAATATGGGGATGTGCTAGCAAAACCAATATTTCCATAATCCAAAGTTGTCAGCCAAAGATACTACGTATGATTACTAACGCCCCGCGGTATGTTTCCAATATAACACTCCATGAAGACCTGAAAGTGCCGCTAGTGAAGGAAGTTATAATAGGGAAAAGCACAAGATACCCCAACAAAACAGGACATGAGAACGTACTAATGCAACCGCTACTGGAACCGCACAGTGGGCGAACTGAAAAGGAATTGGCCAGCAGACCTGAGAGAGGGTTAACGAGGACTTATCTCTGGATAAGCCATCTCCACGTCACGAAGAATACTATAGCAAATTAGCTTATAAAATCAAACGTAATTCCGATTGCTAATATTATGAAATAAAAAACTCTTGATGGTGCTTTTAGCTGTGTTGTGCGAGATGCTCCCAGTAACATCCATCATGACCAAGGGACAGGTAGAGTAGGCCCCGTTCCACGGCCTTCACGCTCATAAGATAAGAGTCATCTGAATTTTCACCTGTGACACACCTAAAAACCCTCATGTACGCAACTATTGTTGACAATGACGAGACACTTCACCGCAGCATTGTGGATGTCTCTCAAACTGCCCGCAACTACCTCGACATACTATATATGAACGTACGAGATATGTTAAGGTGTGAAATAAATTTCATGCCAGACATTTCGAGCACTTATTATAAGTGTACTCTTTCAACTGTCACTCACAAATTAAATGTTTCCGGACACGCGTTGATATGGACATTTTTTGTTGTTCTGGAAACTAGAACTGGTACTCAGAGTTTGTCCGTACCTTTCAGTTGCATGCTGTGTACAAAACTGGATGCAATTAGAAGCCTTGAATCAGTTAAACAACTGAAGCGTTAAAGTGGAAACATCATTTCATGTTTGGATTTCCGTAACAGCTCATCGTTGAAAGCATTATCGATTGTATTAATTAAAGTACATCGTCTTTTGACCCAATTATTCCATAGCCTTATCTCTATTAATGGTAATGTACACTGACGGGCACGAGATCTCCTGCCTCATTATGAGTGGCGTGGCGACGCAATGAGCTGTTGACTCGTGTCTGATAAGCAGTTCCGTCACAACTCTTCATATCCAGTCAGCACTCGCCTGCGTCTGAAGACTGGCAATTTGTGCACCACCGCTTAGCAAACAGACTCACCAAATGAAACCGTCGATATCTTCTTTTAACTAGCAAGCTGGTTTTAACAGTGTTACTTCTGGCCTTGAGTTGCCCGGTTTGAATCTTGGCCGCGACGCAAAAACCTGCAGGTAAATTCCTTAATAATAAATACTTCAGTAATTATTCCTTCCACTCCTATTAAAATCATTATCAGCCTTCTATAAAATCCGTAAAATCTGAGCTACTTGCTGCGTCATATTTTTTTTTTGTATCTCGGGCTGGGGTGGGGTGAAACTGAGTCCACTTGGTACGTCTGTCACTACTGACCTATTTTACCAACGCCGAATGATAGATGATGGATGTGGAGCAGTAGGTGGAATAAGAATTGGCAGGGGAAACAGAAGTACCCGGAGAAAACCTGCCCCAGTGCCACTTTGTCCACCACAAATCCGATATGACCTGACCTGGGCTCGAACCCGGACACCGAGGTGGGAAGTTGGCGACTAAACGCCTGAGCTATGCCATAGCCTTACACGGTCGTAACTTAAACCACATGCAAGGAGATACCTTTCAGCACAAGGAGGGAAAAAGAAACTAAACGCATGCTCAACATTTGAGAGTGAATCATATGAGAAGCGAAATAGGAGCCAATAAGATATGATAATACTAATGTCACTACTATTATAACCAATAATGAGACTAATAATAATAATAATAATAATAAACACATGAACCCCGTTGTTTTAGTCCGCAAGCGAACTATACCGACCGAGCGATCGCCGCTTGTCCACGAAGTTATTGCCAACTTTAGCGGATAGAGTGTGTCGCGTGGTCAGCGCAACGTATCCCCAAGGTCGTTAATTTCGGTTTTCTAGACCAGAGCCGCTATTTCCTTGAAATAGTTCCCCAATTATCTTCACGGGGCTGAGTGGACCCCGTTCCAGGCCCACTACTTCTCAGAAAATGTGGTAGCATCGGGAAACGAACCCGGGACTTCTGGATTTGTAGCCAGGAACTCTGGCCACTAAACCACAGAAAAGGTCAATAATAATAAAAATAACAATAATAGTAGCACTAAATAAACTGCAGGAATGCTGCTTATAATAGGTCACTCCTGATAAAAATCAAAATAGCTAGCAGAAGTTACACAAAGATCTCGCGCAGTCATATCGAACAAACCCTAAATTGTATAGATATTCATAATACACAGAAGAGAGCCCATTTATGGGCCCACGTACAGTGTAGTTAGGTAAAGGTCATTGTGACTGAAAGGCGTTTCTTTAAAGTTCCCTACAGAATTTTAAGGAATTTGTTCCAGCGGGATAGACGGTGACTAGGAACGGAATAGCAGGCGGTCGGACAGACACGACCTCCACCCAAGGTGTTTCGTATGACCTTGTGAAGAAAGTCTGGAAACCTGGGGACATGACTCACAGTCGGAATCTGTTGTCTGAGCAATTAAGTAACAACATCAATACATTCCAAAGGGTTCTGACAATGGTGAATACTACTTAGAATTACTGCCTTTTCGGACTTCGTCCAGTGATTTGAGGTTAGCTTTCTCTAAGGGACCCAACATGGTAGGTGTCTTCTTCCCCTCACCTGAGGACAGAAACAGGTCCAGTTTCCGAAACGCTGTGTTTTTCTAGTTTCTAGAGTATAGGACAATGGACAAACTCCAAAAACCCAGTAATTCTGAACGACAACATTAGGTTTATGCTTTCTGATATAGTCTACCTATTAAGAACATTCAGTTGATGTGAATACTTTGTAGTGAGTTAATTTGGAAAGTGCGCACTTCTGGTGACGCCTTCCTGCCCTCTGTCACGTCGACATAGTCCCTTGGTTTAACCGCGTATATGGAAATTCCTTACAACCACCAATCTTCGCAAGCTATCTTGTAAGCTTACAGAGACTGACTGAAGGTTCGGCCACACAGAGCGCTACGCTATGTTCGCTACGTACGCTGTGTACACTCTGCGACGCAGCTAACATAGGGAACATAGCGTACGTAGCGTGCGGAAGTCTGTGTGGCCAGTCACATTGGCAATAGAGGGAGATATTTTTCTGTTCGTATAGCGAACATAGCGTACGTAGCGTGCGTCTCGTACGTAGCGCTCTATGTGGCCGAACCTTGACACTGTCTGCCGAACGCTTCAATGTAGTCATTAGAATGGAATGTTACGTTATTTAACGATTCTGTTTCAATTGCAGAAGACTTCCAAATGAACTGGGAAGATGATCTATCACAAACCATGAGTGAGTATGTGTTTCAATGGAAGCTATTGTAACCTATTTATGGGCATAACAGAGGCAGGTAAGTGTAGAGATTCAGTAATACAACCGATGACCCAACTCAGGATAGCCTATATCCCAGTGTAGATAACAACCAGTACTTCACAAATATTTGCCTTAGTCATTATCCCTATACCACTACACCTTTTTAATAATGTTTCGTATTCGGATGGTCGTGAATTCTAATCTCGTTTCTTGTGACAGATCGAGGGTTATGTTTCATTTCTTGCTCCCTCCAGACAGGCGCTGTCATAAGATCAGTTATGTGCCCATAAAGATTACTGTATAATTTAAAATAATCAGTCGCATGACCCTTGAAATCGTAACCCCGTGACATTACGGAGAAAAGAATTCGTACACATGTTGCTTCTCCTGTTTTCAACTCAGTAATGCATAAAAGGTCAGGCGAACGAACTATGATGCGCTTTGTCGTGAAAATGGGAGATTTTAGATATTGCATGGAAATGCCCATTTCAAAGTTTCATCTCTTTGATGATATTCTTTGTATCGCGTGGAGCACAGCCCTTCTTGAGAAGCCGTAATCTCTCAGGTAGTGAAAAAATGTCCTGAAGTTTCATCTCCATGTTCACATAAGACAGACGTTTGTCTCTGCTTGTAACCGTGTAAATACAGTTGTCATTCTGACACGAAGTTCCTTGAAGATGCATTTTCCTATAAACAAATCTCTCTCCAGTGGTTCATTCCCTTCAATTTCTCCGACTAAAACTGTTAATGCACCTTTCATTCCCTCATGTGTTCTACTTCCCCTGCCCATCACATTCTAAATGATTTGATCGCCAGAATAACAAATGTCAAGGAGAACAGACTGCGAAGCTCCTCCGAATATTCTCCTCACGTGTATGTCCTCAGACATTCTAAGTCGATCTGGCAACATGCCAAACACATAGCAAAATTATTATGATTGCATTAGTAACGACGTTGTCATATAAAAAATGAAAAAGTTTTTGAAATTTAATTTTGATGTGCCAAATGAAAACCTGGAGCCAAAACTCCTCTGTCACGTGACAAGTCTATGCACTGAATTCTGAGCCACAGGAGCTTCTTTCTCTTGGTTCTTTCTTCATAATGTTTCATTATTTTCAGTACTGACGTGAGAACATGGCGTATCATGAATGAATGAATGAATCTTTTCTTCATTTTAATTATCGTCATTATATCAAACTTCGCGGCGGTGGGCAGGGTATGTGGCACGAATGGGGGAAGAGGAATGCGTGTAGGATATTGATGGGAAAGCCAGAAGGAAAGAGACCACCGGGAAGACCAAGGCGTAGGTGGGTGGGCAATATTAAAATGTATCTTAGAGAGATAGGATGGGATGGTATGGACTGGATTGATCTGACTCAGGATAAGGACCAGTGGATGGCTCTTGTGAAGACGGTAATGAAGCTTCGAATTTCATAAAATGCTGGGAAATTCTTGACTAACTGCAGAATTCGCGGTTCCTCGTGAAGGGCTCAGCTCCCTGAGTAAGTAAATAAGTATATCAAACTGCGCAATAAACAGCATGTGAGTTTTATCATATCTCTTGCGTAAAAAATAAGATTTCCGTGTACACGGCTTAGTCACAAACAGTCTATTTCCCACATATTGTCATGTGTAGGGGATGTGCCTGACTTAGTGACGGGTTTTGGATTGATGATTGGATTTATTGCACTTATACACTGAACTCGTAGCTACAATTAGTTATAGCGCTCTAGCTATATTTGCATACTTTACAACACACTCTTATACACACACCAGCGTTCTCAGTCTATCGCAGTCTCCAGTATCAGCGTCCTGGCAACGGCTTTAACAAAGGAGTTGTACCAGTCTCACTGTAACTGCAGCGCACATGAAGTCTTCTTTGCTCAGCCAAGTTCTTTTCTTGTCATTTCTTCTTAATCACCTTCAACTGTCACCTCAAGAGACTCCCTCAATTCTGTCTCTTAAAGTCAAAGTCACATTGCCACTGACGGTCAGTCAGTCTTGGTGTCGAGCCCCATCCGGGGCTCATAACCACATATTTGTTGCCCTTTGACAGTTACGCTCTTGTTTTTGTGGGGCACCCTCTCTGACAAGAGGACGGGTCTCTGTTTTGTATATGCTGCTGGTCCTTGCCAGCGCAGTCTTTCTTGGGTCCGTGTCCCTTGGGACTTGCGACCATATTTTACTGTCTCATATTTGAGACTTCCCTTCTCGTCGCCTCCTACGACTCGCAGGGTCACGGTGAAGATATTCGACCCCGCCTCCACGTGGAATGTCTCTCAGCGGCCTGAGATCCTCGTTATATAGCCTCGGGGAGGCCCCAATAGAAAGCATCGTTTCCTACAGTATCCTTATTGGTGTGTTCACGGATCAGTTGCTTAGAAACGGTTCTTATATTGTTGTGCGTTCGATTCTTCGTAAATTTGTTTACCGGGTCTTTGCCTAGCGACGATCTACGGGGCGTCATGTCACAATATCGAAAGGATATGAAAACTTGTATGCTTGTGCAATGTGTCGAAATACGTCAGTTGTTTGGCTGTCGCCATTTTATTTAGGATAATTCCGCACATTACAGTTCACTGTGTCCGCCAGTGACGGATGTAGTGTAGCAAAAGATGCGTTTAGGAGGCGAATGTGCTTAGAATTCGACTATACATTCCACCCTTGTTCGTCTTCTGTCTCTGTCACAGAGAAGTAATCTCGTTTCATTTGCTTGTATATGCAGTGAACAGGCATTCTTTTCTGCAAAAGGTGCACTCACTTTACATAATTTACATAATTTATTCATACGATTATCTTGTAAATGGAGTTCTTCTGTTCTTGCAAGCATTAATATAAACATTAGGACGTTTCAGCAAGAAGAAAATGAATGAATGGTGTGAGGGTTTAATACAAAGTAAACTGATATATGGAAGTAAATGTATGTTGATGTTGGTGGCACCCCGGTATGAGGCGGCCATATTTACTTCGGGGATTCGAACCAACATCGGAACATATTGGTCCTCGTTTTCTGTTATTTTGCTTCTTCTTATTAAGAGGTCGGTTCTCGGTTTCCCATGTTCGATCTCAGGTGAGACCATGCGGCATATGTGTTCGACAGAGTGGCACTATGACAAGGTTTATCCTAGTATTTCGGTTTCCCCTGTCATTTTTTATTCCACCAACTGCTCCACACAGATAATCATCTGTGATCCGGTTCTGGTGCGTTCCCCACGATTGAAAAAGGAGACAAGCTCATGCAAAAACTTCGCATGTAAATAGTAATAATGCGGTTTCAAAGTCATCTGAAATTATCTGATGTCAAGAGCTCGTTCAGATGTAGCACTAAGAAGAAACATAACAGGGAATTCTAAACGTCCAAATGTAAGCATTCATTCAATTATAAAGAAACTGCAAAGAGCATAATGTGGCGATATTTGTTAAGATATTGGTATACCAGTGTTCTTGAACCTCAATGTCGCCTTTTGACATCTTGATGGACTTCACAATCAGATATCAGGCCATGTGCAAATATGTATAAACGCGCAGTTGAGATGATGTTCTTTGACTCATAAACAGTCAGTAAACAGTAAATACACTTTTTGTATGTCTATGAAAATTGAGCTTTAAGAACTTCCGAAATATCAGTTACCCTCCCCTGTTCAAATCATTTTGCGCAGTTCGTGCAACAAAGCGTTCGTGATGCAACAAGTGAACGATTCACTTTTAAGAAATCGCCTTAAGTAAAAGACCTTCATTAAATGAGTTAAGTGGGTTATAGGGCCTTGACGTTGTGTTAGCCACCGGATTCTCATTTTGAATCGTGTGTTCAGTCCCAGGCCTGTCGATGTCGGATGTGTGGTGGACAGGAACTCTTCGGTGCCACTTCCTGTTCCATCAACTTCTCTCACCTGTCAACCGAAGGTGATACAGTGGGCCACTGAGGGCTGAATATCAAGGAACTTTCGCCCCATCATAAGAGTCAAATAAGAAAAGTGATGCGATACATTGAAAACTATTACATGGGTTTTTTCTGGAGTATAAGAAGACACTTGAAACATATTCTTCTGGAGTGTGTGAACTATAGGAGTCAATTTTTGTTTTATAAATTATCCAGAAAACCGCTGTTTGAGATCTGAGTGTAGTTTCAAGATGTAGACTCAAGTCACACTTCGGTACGGTTGCATTTTTCTTACGTTTCACGTCTTGATGTACGCTTCCATCCTGCCAAATATCACTTCTCTCTTCATTGCTCATTACTCAGTCTTCTGCTTTTTGTTTCACTTTTAATACAATATTCGTGGAATTTATTTACGAAATAACGGGCTTCACTTAGGAAATATACCTTTAATAACTTGGACCCGTGTTAGTGCAGCCGATATAGCGAATTTTCTCTTCTCCGCGTCGTCCAGACCGACCCCTTATCGAATGTGTACCTGGGGCTATTTCCCCGGAGGTAAAGCGCCAGGAGCGTGAGGCTGACCACTCAACTCCAGCTAGTGCCGAGGTCAAGAAAATGTGGATCTTTACATCAACTCCCCATACGTCTTCTTGACGTAATGCTTAATTAGTTAAGTACAAGGGTCAACTTTACCTTTTCTTTACTTTTTTTACTCATGGAGTTAAGCCCTTCTTGAGGGGCCGCCAATTCTGCAGCTACTCAAGAATTTCCCAGCATTTTATGGAACCCGAAGGTTTGTTACCGTGTTCACAAGAGCCCTCCACTGGTCCCCATCCTGAGCCAGATCAATTCAATCCGTACCATCCTGTCCTATCTCTCTAAGATCCATTTTAATATTGTCCACACACCTACGCCTTGATCTTCCTAGTTGTCTCCTTCCTTCTGGCTTTCCCACCAATATCCTACATGCATTTCTCATCTCCCCTATTCGTGCTACATGCCCTGCCCACCTCATCCTGCTTGACTTGATCATTCTAATTATACCTGAAGAAGAGTACAAGTTAATCGTCTCTGTGGTCTAGTGGTCAGAGTTCCTGGC